GAAAGAAAGAAAGAAAGAAAGAAAAAAAAAAAGAAAAAAAAAANAAAAAAAAAAAAAAAGAAGGCGTGATATTATGTAAGAGGGAAGACGAGACACGGAAAAGATTACCTACCCCCCTCGTCTAAGCCCCCCCCTTGCATTAAATACATGCGTTAAAAAAAAAAAAAAGAAGAAGAAATAAAAAATAAAAAATAAAACAAAACTTGGGGTCGGATTAAATACCGTACGTACCTACAGCCGCGTACGGTAGAACTACCTTACCTACCTACCTACCTACCTACCTAGGTAATGAATTGTAGGTACCTCCTCCGTAAGAAGATGGAATAGATGAAATTGATTAAAGAAAAAATAAGGAGGGAAAAAAAAGGGGGGGGGGACCATGGCGTGGCGTGGCGTGGCGTGGCGTGGCGTGGCGTGGCGTGGCATTCTTCCAGAAGGTTGCGGGGGATCCTAGGATGGGATGGTGCGGTACTGCTTTACCGGTAGTAGGTACTGTATTGTATTGTATTGTACCTTCAGTTTATTTTAGTTTACTTTACTTTACTTTACTTTACTTACGTAGGATGGAAGGGGGGAGGGGGTGGAAAGCGCGGGGTAAAGAAAGGGCCTTTTACACGGATACACGGATACACGGATAGGGAGTACGTATGTACGTACGTACGTACGTATTCTTTCCTCGGTATCAAATGCATTGCGTATAGTGAGTGAGTGAGTGAGTAATTTGACTTGACTAATTTGACTAACTTGACGTGACTGACGCTCTGATGCAGAGGAGGAGAGGAGGAGGAGAAGATGATGATGATGGAAGATGATGATGGAAGAAGACGAGAAAGAAGAGAGAGAGCAGAAGACAGTCAGTGTGCCGGACGAAACAAGACACACACAGCCCACCGCCAGTTTTAATCAATTAACATTTCATTTCAGCTGAGGTGCCGGTACCGGGAGGTGGGTAGGTGGGTAGGTATGCTACGAGCTACGAATAACGATTACGAGTGCGAATGCGACTGCGAGTGGGACTGCGAGTGCGAGTGCGACTGCGAATGCGAGTACGACTACGAAGTACGAATTACAAGTACGAACGAGCTGGTTTCTCGCCGGGTTCAGCTTGACGTTGAAACCTCCCTCGCCAGCGCTAGCTGGGTGGTTCGGTCGCTCGTTCCGATATCCGTGCCTGGGGATCCTTGCGGGATAGGGGATAGGGGATCGGCTCAACAAAAAGGACCGTTCGGGAGGTAGTAGTAGGTCGATGGCCTCGCGGCTTTGGTTGGTAGTGGGGAGTGGGTAGTGGGAGGTGCTTTGAGTATCGATTGTCAGGCTGGCTGCAGATCGATGGGTAGGTAGGTAGTAGGGAGGTAGGTAGGTAAGTAGGTATCTATGTAGGTAGATCGAAAGTCGAAAGTCGAAAGTCGAAAGTCGAAAGAGAAAGGTAGTAAGTATTGTTGTGTGTGGTTTTGTGCCTCTTGATCCATGTTTTCGAGTCGTCAGGTGGGTAGATAACTGTCCTACCTACCCTTCCCCTCTCCCCCCAAGCCTCAACCCTCCACCCTCCACCCTCCACCCTCAACCTCAACCTCAACCTCAACCCTCAACTCTCAACCCTCAACTCTCAACCCTCAACCCTCCTCACCCCTCCTCACCCCTCACCCCTCACCCCTCACCCCTCACCTCCTCACCCCCTCACCCCCACCCCACAGGAACTTGGAAGCGAGAATCAGTACCGTATCCAAGAGCTCGCCATGGCTCCCACGCTTTTCCCGTCTCGGCCGTCCAGTGGTTGATCGTCGCCCGCCGCTGGACGGGGTGGCCAGACCGCTGATGGGTGGGGGCAGCCGGCAGCGAGAGAGAGTATGCATGGACAGGGAGGGGGTGAGGCGAGCAATGGCATGACATGGCAGGGCAGGGCAGGGCATTAATTAGCATGGTATCGGCGGTTGGAAAGGGTTCACGATAAACTTATAAGTAAAGAAAGGGGGGGAGGGGGGATCCAGGGGAATTTAAGAAAAGGGGAGGTGAGATGGCAAGGCCACGACCGGCAATAGGCATTGAGGAATGGGAAGGGGACTCAACTCAATTCCGATAATGCATTAGATAGGTAGGTACGGTACTGTACTGAGAGTCGTACTCCTCCGTTCCCTCCGTATGTATCGGCGACTCACCTGCCTCCTCGGCTATTTGATTCGCTCGCAGCCGGGCATGGATAATGGATATGCAGCTTGCAGGTCTGGCGTCTGTGTGTCTGGTCTCCGGTCTGATCTAATGCAGCGCCCAAGGTGAAAAGGGAAAAGAGGAAAAAGTTAAATTGGGAGAGGGAGAGAGAGAGAAGGCCAAGGAGCCAAGATGCCTAGCTGGACGATCATGATCCTCCAAATGATCCAAGTGGTGAAGTAATCCGGGGAAGAGGACCTACTTTTCCGCATGATTGTGAAGGGGGGGTCGGGGGGGGAGAGAGAGAGAGAGAGAGAGAGGGAGGTGAGAGACGAGTGGATTGTATTGTGTTGATTATAGTGTAAGATAGTAATGAATGAGTGAGTAAGTGAGAAGTGAGTGAGTAAGTGAGTGTGTGAGTGAGTGAGTGTTCCAAGTCAGTCAGTCTAGAGTCGAGTATTACTACTCAGTCCATGACCTAAAATGCATGACAGCCGAACGAAGTAGTAGTCGTAGTAGTCGTAGTCATCAGAGGATATTGAATAGATCAATAAATATACTCTGAACAGGAATAGTATATATAGTATCACGACGTATAGTTAGTAGTATTAGGTACTCCGCCTAGTACTACTAAGTATTATTATTATCACTCCGGATAGTATTACTCCGTAGAGGATATCCCATCCCCTTTCCTGGTCCCTGGTCCCTGGTCCCTGGTCTTTACTCGACGCACGCCCTTCTCTCTGTGGCCGTCGGGTCCGTGGGTGTGGAGTTTTTGGTTGGTGTGTGGCTCTGTGGCTCTCGCTCGCCCTGCCCTCTACTGTATTTGTAGTAGTACTTACTACGAGGCACGACTCCGGCTCCGACTACGACTACGACTCCGACTACGACTACGACTACGACTACGACTACGACTACGACTACGACTACGATGTGCACTTAGCCAGACCAGACCAGACCAGACCAGACCCAACCCAAACCCCCTCCCCTCCCCTCCCCTCCCCTCCCCTCCCAAAATATCAAACGATCTGAAAAGACGAATTCTCCTCTACCTACCGGTACTCTCCTCAACCCAACTCTAGAGGCGAAGCGAAACCCGGCCTGGCCCTAAACCCTGCCAATCCCAATCCACATCCCATCTTCCAAGGCCACATCTTTTCTCCTCCTCTTCACCCGCTTCCTCTTCCACCTTCTCCTCCTTCCGCTTCGCACTCCAACACTCCAACACTCCAACGCTCCAACACTCCAACACTCCAACACTCCAACACCACAACACCACACCCACTACAAGTCTACAACCACCCCACCCCCCACCGCTCATCTCCTCCATTCCATCCGTCCATCCGTCCATCGTCCATCGTCCATCCGTCCATCCGTCCATCCATTCTCTCTAATCTCACAGCATTCTTCAATCCTCCTCGACATCGACATCTGCTTCCACCATTGGAGCCTCAATTCCTCGCCTATACCCGTCGCCCCCATTCCTCTCTCGCAAGCTGGTGTGCATTGCTCACACCCTTCTCGTCCCGGAATCCCCTATTGGTCTCGAATCCAACGCCCGTCTTTACATATACCTACCTCGACAGATATACATTCTTGATGAGAGAGCGGATACGGAGATTTGATTGCTGGGAGGCCGCGTGTGGGAGACAACTCTGGAACAATTACCAACGTCCTTGATCGATCCGTAAACTTTGCAACCGCGGAAAGGTTTCTTACAAGCCTTTGGTCTCAGGACCTTAAACCACCAACCGCACGACTCGACGACTCGCACCTTCCCGATCCCCCGATCCCTCGATCCCTCCGATCCGACTTGACCCCGTCTCCCGCCAGAATGGCCGTCGTGCTCAGTTCCGAGGAGAATAGCTACTTCTCCTCGAGCCAGCTGCGACGCTCGCACTCGCAGCCCAAGTTCGTGACGCAGTCTTCGTTCAAGAATCCGTCCAGGTCGAAAAGCAGCAGCAGCTTCCACAAGATCATCTCGCCCTCCGTCTCCGCCGACTCGTCCGCCCCCTCGTCCCCGCGCACCCTGCATGCCGACTCGTCCGCGCCCTCCTACTCCTCGACCCCCGCGAGCAGCTTGTCCCTGGACCATCGGTGCGGCGACGAGGACGACGAGGACCAGATCCTGTTCCCCTCGTACGACCACGTGGGTTATTACGGACAGGTCGAAGACCTGGAACCCCCGGCCAGCCCCCGGACGGGTGACTCCTACACCGTCTCACCAACTTCCAACAGCATATCGACCAATGTGTCGAGGCCCGAGTCCCCGGATCCCATCGGGCATGCCGAGGATGATACCGCGGTGCGGACGCAACCCTCGCGACACGTAGACTACCTCTCGCACAACTGGACGGAGGAGGACATCTGGTCGTCATGGAAGCTGATCGTGTCGAAGCGGAAAGCGTACAATAACAGCGCCCGGCTCGAGAATGCTTCCTGGAGAACGTGGACCAAGTCCAAGAACAAACTCAAGACGGTGTCGCCAGAAACGCTCAATTGGTAAGTCACACTCGTTTTCGGTCATCGCCCAGTGCCATTGGTTGTCCGCTTACCTTTCTCAGGCTCAAGGACTGTGATGTTACTTGGCTGTACGGTCCGCTCCAGACCAGGTCGGAGAAGACGCAGCATTTCACCTCCACGTCTCCTGCCGACAGCAGTCGGATCTCCAAGAGCAACTCATTCTTGCACAAGAAGCCGATCTTGAAAAAGCGGAGCATGTCGGAGATCATGCTTCAGAGGTCCTTATCGTCGTCCTCACTTCTCAAGCAGGCCGCCGCAGCGGTGCAAGCGCAGCAGTCCGGGGATGGGGGCATGTCGCGCCCGGCATTGGGGCGGAGGACTTCCGAATACACAAATCCGTTCGCATCCCGACGGATGAGCAGAGAGATGATTCCGGCCAGCTTGCTCTCTTCCATCTCGTCATCGGGACTGGGAACCCCCGGGACTGGCGAAAAGAAACACATCCATTTCAATGAGCAGGTGGAGCAGTGCATCGCTCTGGAGATGAAAGGGGAAGACGAGGACCCCGTCTCCTACGCATTCCACGACGATGACAGTGACTCGGATGATGGAGCAATCATGATGAAGAGCAACACCGGCCGGAAGTTGCCTCCGCTGCATGGAAAGAGGACGACCCCTGGGCAAAGCTTCACCGCCGAGAGCAAGACCATTGCTATGCTACCCTCGACGACGTTGAAATATAGGTCGGATACACCTGAGCCCCCGGAAACAGCCATGAAGCACAGTAACGGAATGTGGAATGGAACGGAACTGTCACCTTCGCCCTCCCTAGAGACCCTGAGACCTTCCAAACCATCGATGAGGCTGCTACTCGGAGACGATGAAGACGATGACGACATAGACTGGCAACCACCATCGCCTGCCTTTGCTAACCGCAAGGATAGCATGTCTGTGACGCCGGAACGATTTCCAAGTCTGCATACGTCGACTTCGTCGTCAAGCCTGAATGGAGAGCCATCCGGAATGAGACGGACGCCGTCCGGCATGTTCATGCCCTACGAGGAAGACGAGGACGACGTCGTTTCCGAGGGCTTGTTCGGAAAAGTTGTCGATACCGTGAACACGGCGAGGGATATTGCGCACGTCATCTGGAACGTGGGCTGGAGGCGGTAGCTGTTACGGGGACCGCCATCCTGCCATATCCTCCTCTGGCACTGGCTCTACGGGCGACAGGAGCTGACCGTCTTGGGTCATATAATGTTTGCATATATGGATGGCGTACATTAATGGGGGGGGGGGGGCCACTGTGCATAATTCACTTTACAAAATCATGGGGAGGCGGGTTGGGGGGGGGGTTGAATAGGATTTCGGCGTTTTGACAGGTTTCTACTGTTCTAATTTCGGTTTGATGGGCCGGCTGCTGTGCTGGTATTTTGGAATAGGCCGTACGGGATGGGCCGGCCGGGCTGGAGGGGATGTGGGGTCTCTCTCACAGGCTGGCTCGGTGGGTGGGTGGGATGTACTCCAGTGTCTGGGTAGGAGCGCTGGACTGAATTGGAGAGGGATGGGATAGGTTTAGAATCTCACGGTCTTCACCGATGAACAGAGGCCGTAGCGTAAGGCCACGAACGTATCGATCGTCTCCTAGCGTACCTTGTCCGTGCCGGCAGGCGTGTCGGGCGTGTAATGGATAATAATGCCCAAACAAAAGCACATAGATTCAATCAACATCTGCCACTCGGCAAAGTCGTTCAGATTCTCCGTGTGTGTGTCTATATCGGTGGGGGTTCTATTTGGCAGCCGGCTTCTCCATGGGATCTCGGATGCTCATGAGAGGTGGAAGGGAAGGAACGGAAAGGAAAGCGGACGTGAGACTTGGACATGTTCACAACCTCCCCTCCCAACTCCTCACGCCGTGGGTTGAGGATGGCAAATTTCCGCCACTTTTTCAACCTCTTTATTTTTTCATCGGGCATGCCGTCAAGGAGAAGGTGCGGGCCGTCTCCATGGTCTCGGTGCCGGCGTTGTTGTTATTGTTGAGGTGAAGTGCTAGCGCGTTCCCCCCCCCCCGAGGAGGGAAGGGAAAGGAAATATACTTCCATCATGACCGTTGCCAAGACCTCACCCCACCTCCCCCTAGTGCTTGCCCACCCAGTCAGTCCCTACCGGCCCACCCTTGAAAGATTTCTCACTTCTCACCTCGATGCTCGCCCCGTTGGTCGCGGCCCACGATGACGAGGATCTGCAGATCTCGCGGTTGCCTCTGTCTCTTTCTCTCTTTCTCTCTCTCTTTCTGTGTCTGTGTCTGTGTCTGTGACTGTGACTGGTGCACGGCGGCGGGTACAGAGTGGAGTCGGCTCGGCGCTCGCAGCGTCGCAGAGGAGAGATGTCGTACAGTACTGCACCCTACCGATCCATCCACCTCTGATGAGGCCGGCGCCACAGGGTGGACCGGCCTCGGCCTCGGCCGTACGTCAATGGAGACGAGAGTGAGTGCAGGCCGTTGCGATTGCACCGAACAGGCTGGATGGCGTCGGGGTAGCAATGGAAGCAGCACTTGCTCTAGACACCCGGGCCAGGGGGAAGGGGAAGGGGGAAGGGGGAAGGGGGAAGGGAGAGCGAAGGGGGAAGAGGAAAGGGCATTCATCCGATGCACGTACTGTACCGTCGCGGGTTCATGGCTCGTGTGCATCCATCGGCGTCTGCTGGACATGCTGGACATGCGGGACATGCGGGACATGGCATGTCGGGACTGGCGATGTCTCGATCCCTGGTGATGGCTGAACTGATACAATACTGTACTGTAGTACCTAGTAGATCGATAGGGTACCGCCAGGTGGGCACTTTGTCGCTCATCAGCCACCGCGAGAAGCCTGCTCTTGGCAGTGCATCTCCTCTGTGGGTCTAGGCGGTCTAGGCGAACCGATGCAGTTCTCGATGCAGCTCTCATGCAGGCGGATCACTCAACGTCCGTTGTCGCAAGACGGGCCCGGGCAGCGTTACGTAGCGTTAGCGTTAGCATTAGCGTTAGCGTTAGCATTACTTAGCATTAGCCTGACTTAGCATTAGCCTTAGCATTACTTAGGTAGCCTTAGCCTTAGCCTTAGCCTTAGCCTTAGCCTTGGCCTTGGCCTTGGCGAGCCCCGGATTGGAATTGAGAATGAAAGGTGAACGATTGGATTGAATGACCCAGGTATCTACGATATGCCGCTGTAGCTGTCAACGCAGTCAGATGGGGGGGGAAGGGAGGCCGGTCGACCAACGACACCTTCCAAACACGGCTGTAACAACACATACATAAGGCCTCTCCTGCTGTACCGCCACCTTTCCCCAATGAACGATGACAACAACAACGACGACGACGCCACACCCACTCACCAGCTCCGGATCCAGGGCGCACCACACCACCCCAGAGCCCACCCCACCACACCCCACCACACCACACCTCACCACACCACACCACCACTCCAATCCAGTGCCTGGACGTGACTGGACCCTGGAGGCCCGATTGAAATAGCTGAGCGGACATATATACCTCACCCTTCGAGCGGCCTACAGACTACATGCGCTCCACTGGTGGCTGCAGTGCCGCTTTCCGCCGAGGTCGTCCTCCTACTGCGGTAAACAGACCTTATCTTTTTGACCTTGGCTTTGCTGATTGCGCTGCGAGCGACTCGACGGCAGTGAGGGAGGCGGTAAGGGCGTCGGTCAGTCGCCGCACCATGTATGGTCGTGGTAGGTGTTTGGGATATGGAAAGGACGACAGAGAGTACCGGTATAGGTAGTCCAGATGGCATCCCAGTACGGCCTAGGCTACGGGAGTACGTTTGACCGTGCCCCCGGGTGGGACCGGAAGCTTTTCTTTGGACCCCGACGCTTCTCTCACTTCTCTCACTTCTCACCCTTCGCACCCATCGCACCATCTCACCATCTCACACTCCCCTCATCTCCGATCCACCGACGCAACGACCGGCAAGCCACTCCGCCGGCTTCATCCACCTAACCCACCTACAAGCCGAGCGGCTCTGTAACACCCATACTAACCCTATCAGGAGTATATAGCCTTGTCCCCCCCACTTGCCCGCTCCAACTGCAGGGTCCCCGCCATGCCCATGCGCGCATCTCGTTTCGGCCGCTTCTCGCATACAACAACATACAGACGAGGTTCATACCCAAACAGATACACATACACATACATACAGTACGCATACGCATGCATCAATGCCACCTCTCGGCAGCAGATATCTCGCCATCGTCTAGTTTGCACATGCTCGCCGCGGGCCGCTTTCCACGGTAGAACGAGAGACTAAATAATGGGTACATCCGAGGGAGTGGAGGGGAACATGATATAAGGGTTTATGTGTTTCTGACGCGGCCGGGCCCGAGAAGATCCCCGTTCTTTGTTTTTTTCTTTGCTTCTCCTTTTCTAGCTGGTCATACATGGCCAAGAGCCAGGGGGATGAATTGCGTGCGTACCGACTAGAAAGGAAAATAAAATGAGAATCAGCATGACAGCGGCAGTCAGACCGGCCTAGCGCTATATGGCGTCTCGTAGCGGGACGCAAGAATGTATATCTCCGAATTCAAGAGCAAACGGACGGACGGACGACGGACGACGGACGACGGACGGACAGACAGATAGATAAGGTAGATAGATAGATAGATAGACGGACAGACAGACAGACGGATACGTGAAACGATGGAAACGAAGGCTTTCTGCGGATCAATTGCAGGATATAATATTGAAACAAACGCTGCCGTCTCGTGGTCATCTACCGGTAGGCTGTAATCCATTTAATTTATTCAATCCATCTAGTCCATTTAGTCCATCTAGTACATTTAGTCCATTCAATCCATCTAGTCCATTTAGTCTCTCTACTCTGTCTATTCTATCTCTTCCCTCTTCCCCCTCCTC